ATAATAGGCAGCTAAATCATGGTCTTGGGTTTGGATGTAACTCAACTTCAAATTTCTCACTCTTTGTAAAATGTGCTGTGCTAAGAACCTTTTCCCTGTTTAACATTCAGGACAAAAGCAATGTTCATGTCTACAGGCCTATTTGTCAAGAAATAACAGTAATGAATAAGAGTCACATTTGAATAACAAGAGTGGACTAGACATGAGAGAATAGAACAGGCCCAGCAGCTTCAATTCTCCATCTTAAAATTACTTGCTATTGTTGAGGATAATAGAACATCAAAAGGACAAATTCAAAACTCAAATTAGTTCCTGTCCTCCCAGGAGAAGCTGCTGCCTGATTCTGATCTGTCTTTCATGTGTTGCTCTCACTCAGATGCACAATTTCAAGGGCTAGGGTGTCATTCCTATATGCAAAGAAGTGCTGGCATTAATGAGAGTTATATTTAGACATCTTTCTACTGTGAGAGAGGCTACAGTGTAATGTTAAACTTGTGAATTTTAAGGTCGCAGTGAGGACATAGAAACTAGCTAAAGTTTCAAAACCATGGAAATTAGCTACTTTAGCAACCACAGGTTTTTCAAGGGTTTTCTTCAAATTAAAGTAAGTTTGTTCATTCTTTCTTCATCTCACAGAACTACTATTTTACAATTAGTGCCAGCTGACAGAGCAGCAACCATGTGAAATATTTCTGATCACTTTGAAAGTAAGAAAACATAGCTACAGAGTATGCTGCGTGAGTGATAACGTATTTCTACTTCTAGAAGTGATCAGAACTTACTGACTTCCAAAAAAAAGAGACACACCCAAATTTAATGGGGCCGAAATTATTATTATGTCCTACCACTTTGTCTGTAATTCAGTAAATCCCCCTATTACTATGTTATCCTTGTTTTACTTTTAAATAAATTTTTAAAAAAATTTTTAAAAAAGTGGTAAAACATATAATGAATGCTTAAATGTCTAAAAGTTATTACAGTAAAAGACACATTGTCGTTAATCCCCTTGAAAATACTCCTCAAATACTCCGTGGGACCCACAGAGAAGGAAATACAAAATATCCTGAAATAAAGAGGGAAATAGAAACAGAGAAATGGGAGGGGGTTCTACTTTGAAGTAAGTAGAATGAATAATGTGATAGAAAAGAATGTAAGGTGAAAGGGATAAATAGTCTATGTTAGATACAGCGGGTTCGTTATAAGACAGGGAGCAGGTTCATCTCGCAGTCCTCCCTTTCTCCTTCCAGATCCCTGCTCCGTTTTCCCTTTGGTTCTATGCCTTGCAAATCAATATTCAAGGCTTCCTTCAGTGGGTTTCACTTCTGTCTGGCTTCCAAATATCAAGCAGCAGAAAAATGCATAGAGAGGTAGAGGGAGGCAGCGGAGTGACACCCTCACCCTTTTTGCAATGAGGTTGCTTCCTATTGGCTGTATCCCTTGATGATGTGTACAGCTCTTGTCAGGCAGCCCTTGCCATAGCTGTTCTCAATGGATAAACTTTCCCAGCTCCGTCAGATCTAAAAATGTAACTCCCTGTAGTTTCTAGTTCTAGGAAAGTAGAGGAACGATTTATGGTGGGATCTATAACTGCTATCAACTGAATACCCTTTCCCTGAGATTAATGTATTAGACATCTAACCTCCACTGAGCAATTTGAAAATGAGTCTTTTAGGAGATAATCAGGTTTAGATAAAGTTCTTAAGAGTAAGAACTTTTATGATGTGATTTATGTCCTTATAAGAAAGGATATCAGAATTATTCTCTCTTCCTTCCTCTACCTCCCCTCTCTGCCTCCCATCTAGAATACAAGAAGCAGGTCAAGAGAAGAGCCTTCATGAAGAACCCAACCACACTGGAATCCTGCTTCCAGAACTATGAGGAAATACGTTTATGTTGAGAACTCCAGGTCTATGATTTTTTTTTTTTTTTTTTTTTTTTGGTACCGGGTATCGAACTCAGGACCTTGCACTTGCCAGGCAGGCGCTTGTGCCCCTGAGCTATATCCCCAGCCCTGCAGGTCCATGGTATTTTGTTATGGTGGCCTCTGAAGACTCAAATAGTAATACTACACGTACATACTATTATTAAATACCTTTATTCAATTCTTCTCAGATTGCCCAATATGAATATCCCACCCCTCCCCTACTGAGATCTTTACTAATGTATTTATAATTCTTTACACATATTTTTAATGCTTAGTTCCTTACATCTATAATTTCTCCCAAACTTTTAATTTCCCATTTATATAACAGTTGATGACTTAGAATATTATAATGAAATTTGTTTAAAAGGGTGAAAATTAAATAAATATACCACTCATATTTTATTTAAAGCCTTATAAAGATGTTGCAATATGGCATAATCATTCTGAGGTAGGGACTTGGGTTTAGGCAGACCTGGGGTTTGGTCGTATCTCTGCATAGCACAATGGTGGCAAATGTACAACACACTTGCCTCAGTGGGCTATTTGTTATCCTTGAAAGCTCTAAAAGCATAACCATCGCTGGCATAGTGTGACAGAATTACTTACTAACTTCTCTAACATCTCTTACATTTCTGCTTCTTATCTCTTAGGGAAGAATCACCATTTGAATTATAACCAACTCACAATGTTTGTCCAATGTCTGGAATAGAGGAATCTACTACTATCACTCTTACCAACATCCTTTTACGATATTGCTATTGTTTGTGATTTTGCTATTTTTGGAAACTTCTTTACAGTTGAGCATATCCATGCACACCAGGCCTCACAGCCATCGAAGAGTATGGGATTTTCACATGAAGGAGAATTGATTAATTCCCATCCACAGACTCCAAAAGCAACATGACCCGAGGCAAGAAGGACCCTGCCTTTTGTCTACAGAACATTCTCTTCATAGGAGAAACTAATCAAGGCTTTATTACACTTAATGAAGTTCTCATATTAAATTCAGGACACTCAATATAATTTATCTTAATTAATCAATTTTTATGCTTAGAGGGTGATGTTTGACAAGTTATTTGCTCTGCTTGTACATTCTCTCTTTGTCCTTTCTCTTGCCTAGCATCACATTAGACACAGGCGCAACTCAGACAGACAGCTGAAAAATGCTAATGAGCCTCAAAACCTCTACCTCAACAATTAACAGGAGACTTATTCCCACAGGGCGCTGATATACTTTGATAACAGCATTTTCCACGGCTCTGTCAGTGAGGATCTTAAGGGAAGTGAAACGGGGCTCTGGCATCTGCACATATTATGAGCTTCTACAATAGGGAAGAGATTTCTTCACAGACTGATGAAATCAGGCAAGATACTAAACCCAACAGTTTGGCGACACAACCGGATATTCTTAGCTTTTTAAGTTTCACGTCCAAAATTAATTTCTAGTAAATTGCTGTTCATGCATGATTTTGAAAGGAATCTAATCAAACCATCGTCCTAATATGAAAATGAACAAATGAAATAAATGACTTTCTGAACTTCTTTAACCTCTCTAGTTTAGAATTCTCATTAAAATGGTGGGAACTGTAGTAGAAAGGATAAAGGTAACTGACAGAATGAAATCAAATAAGGCTTCCCATGGATAGCACCTGATAAATAAGAAAAGACTTAATAACTGTTCAGTGTTTTACTCTAATGATATCTGATATCTACTGTAGTAATGGAATACTATAACCCACTGCCATTTAGAAAATTTGACCTATCCTATGAAGGAAACAGGTTATTCTCTGTGTTATATGACCACTACCTCATTTCAAACTTTCAAGCTTTCTTCTAATTATTTGTACCCCAAAAATATGTAACAGTTTTGAATTTTTAAAGATGTTCCCATGTGAGAAACTGTGGCCTCATCTCTTCTATCAAAGGATATAAACAGGAGAGCCTCCACCTTAGACTCCAGTTCCCCCTAAGCGGCCCATCCCCAACACACTGAAATTACAGAAAAGTCCTGTTCAGTTCAAATTCTAGAAACATAGTTACAGACCAAGAGAGCTTATCAATAGCCAAGGACTTTCTGTTCCCTCCACTCTCCCCCCTCCCGCTCTTCCTCCCCTTGGGACTCTCCCCCTTACTCTGCTTAAACTAGCCCACTGCACTAGATTGTAAGCCTTTGAGTTAAGCCAATGAATATAAAGGTTAGCTACTTCCCAGATGGAAGGGCTTAAAAGCCCCATGCTCATGGTGCTTGTTGCACCTGCTACCTCCTGTCTGCGAGCACTCGTGCCCTTCTGCAGAAGGGAAATTGAAACTCTGCCTTGTCCAGTTCTCTTGCCTGTTGTCTGAGTGCCTTCTTTCTGGCACCTACAAATGGGGACTTAGTTCTAACACCCAGGTAAGCATCATTAATGAAACAGTGAAATAATTAACCTACTAATAAGCAAAACATTTTTGGTTAGTCACAGTTATCAAATTGAATAAAACAAGGTCAAACTTAACTCTAACTAGTCTAGAGAACCTCAATAGACTTAGGTTTTAAATGTTAAACCTTAAATATCTGCTAATTTTCTTTGAAGATTTAGTCTCACTATACAGTTCATAATTTTAAGAAATTTTAAAGGAGCTGGGTGTGGTGCTGCGTGCCTGTAATGCCAGCCCTCTGGGAAGCTGCAGCAGGAGGATTGTAAGACTGATTCTAGCCTGGGAAATTTAGTAATTTGGCATGACTGGGATGCAGCTCAGTGTGAAGGCCCTTGGTACAATCTCTAGCACCACAAAAAGAGGAAGAAGGATGAAAAGGAGAAAGAAGAGGAAGAAAAAGGAAGGAAGGAAGGAAGGAAGGAAGGAAGGAGAGAAGGAAGGGAGAGAAGGAAGGAAGGAAGGAAGGAAGGAAGGAAGGAAGGAAGGAAGGAAGGAAGGAAAGAAGGAAGGAGAGAGAGAAGGAAACCAGGTAGCACTTAGAAGGTTGAGGGAGGGGGACTGTGCATTGGAGTGCAGCCTCCAACAACAACAAAAAATAAATATTAATGAAAAACATGAATAAGGAAAAGAGTTCTTATTCACATCTTAGGTTTCTTACTTTTCTGATAGACGTGTCTTTTGTAACTCCAAAGTACCCTCTTCAAATGGGGAGGGAAAGTGGTAGAGTCCTTGGCTAGTATGCAGGAGGTTCTGGCTTCAACCCTCAGAATGTGAAATAAAATGGGGAAGGAGTACAATCCCAAATACCCTTAGCAACTAATCTATAACTCTCCTGTTCCTTGAGGCAATGTTTTCTTTTCTTTTCACACAAGGCTTTGCTTTGTTGCTCACAACAAACAGCTCACAACCTCTTGTCTCAGCTCCCTAGTAGCTGGGGTGACAGGCGTGAGCCACCATGCCCAGCGTTTCAAGGCAGTGTTTCTAAAGTGCATTTGTGACAGCAGCTGGTCACTATGACATCATGTACTGATCAAAAAGAAGGCGTGTTCATGGAGTCAAACATTTCTCATCCAATTTTTTTGCCAGTCAAGGAATGGCAAAAATGCCAGGAATCAAGGAATCTTTAATGCAAGGAATCAAGCAAATGAAATTCTCACCCTTTTACATATTTTTACCTTTCACTAACTTTCCTTGAAGCTGAGAAGTCTTAAACAAAGATATCAGTTTTTACTTCAGAAATTATTGCTATATTACCCTAAGAGAGTGATGACATAAAAATACAATTTAACCAAATTTGGCAGGTCCCTCGAGATATTTTACTTTATATTGAAGTCTAACGCTGGGTGAAATTTGAGCTTTTTCATAGGATTAGAATATTTTAATCACGGTTTTTCCTAGAATAAATTTTTATAAGACAAATTTCTAGTATCATTCCATGAGCAAACACATCCTGCTTTGTATCTATCCTCATCTGGATTAATCCGAGAATTAAAGTGACAACCTCCCAAAGACTGGAATATGAGTGCTCAGTTACACTCTTTAGAACAGTTCCCAAAACTCCTGAAATGTGCCTGGGTCTATGGAATGACTTATATTAAGAACTCTTCAAAGGTGAATGTCAAGGAAAATAAAACAAACAACCACACCAAAAACTGAAGAGATATACTGAAAAGAGAGAGAAAAAGAGAGAAGAGGAGAAAGGGGAGGGAGGGAAGGAGGGAAGGAGGAAAACATTGGGTCAAATCCACTATAACGGCTAAAATTTTTTAAACCTTACCTTACAGATAGCTGGCAAGGAGGAAATGGACACAGCTGATGGAAATAAAAAATGGTGCAATCATGTTTGAAAACAGTTTTGCACTTTAAGATGTTAAACATATACTTTGTGTATGATTAGGCCATTCCAATCAAGACATACATTCAGGACAAAAGCAGCATATGTGTATTTAAATACTTGCATACAAGTATACACAGCAGCTTTATTTATAAATGCCAGAAAAAGTAACACCCCAACGTCCATCCACAAGCAAACTGAAAACTTACCATATATCCAGAAGGTGGAAGAGTGTGCAGCAATTAAGAAGCTAATGATACATGCAAAAACATGGGGTAACCTCAAAATAATTATTACTGAAGATGCAAAACCAGGCACAAACTAGTACAATAGTGTGACTCGACTACTTAATGACAAAAAATGACAAAAATATCAGTGATCAGATGGGCCATGGAAGGTGCAGAAAAAAGGCAGAAGAAAAAAAGTAGGAGGTGATATATATGATTTTCTTTAATTGTTGTGATAGTTGCATGCTGAGTACTCATATAAAGTTATTCAGTTGTACACTTTAAACCTGCAGATGTTAATAACAACTATTTCTCAATTTGAAGTGAAATAATGAGTCTGTAGTTTATTGAGAGAAACAATCAGTGCTTAAAATTTTCTTTTTTTCTTGACCAATTTTACACGCTTGAATTTGGTAATTGATCTGATAACAATATGCAGTATAAGAACCATTGTTGAACTCCTACTATTTTGTATAGTGAAGCTCTGCATCATTTCCAATGTTTTTTAAATTATTTTTATTGTTTATTACTTGTTACTGTCTTTGTTCGATCAATCTTACATTCTTATGTCTGATGGACTGAGCAACTTCATTGAGGATAAGTGAATGTAATATAGCAACCATTTTAAATTCCTATCATTTTGTCTTGAGGTCATGTATCATTTTTGTTGTTCTTGTGTGGTTTTGATTTTGTCTTCATTGTTGTTTTGTCAGTTTTTTAATTTTTAAAATTAAAAAAAGGTTAAAAAGAATTTTTAAAAAGTGAAATAATGAACAGGTTCCTCTGTAGAAAAAAGAGATTAAAAATCATAGCAGTGTGTGAAAATCCACTAGAACCTTATTAAGTAAGTAAATAAATAAGTAAATACGATACTTGCAAAAATTTACATATGAATTTGCATATGAATCTCAGGTTATTTTTTTGCTAGGTATAACAGCAGTATCATAGCAAATCTTTCCCTAGAAGATGCATACAAAAGGATTTAAATTCAAGAGTTATGATTTCTGCAAATCACACAATCAAATAAGAGAAAAATGCTGAGAGAAAGAATATGGTATGATGCTAACTACTGAAGCTAGGTTGAGATTATGCAAATATCCATTTAACTATTTTTAAAATTATGTTGAATCCTTGCAATTCATACACGATTTTCTTTCATTTTACTCATCTTCATTCAACAAAAATAGCTGGAATATATTAAACTATCCTCTATAGTAGAAAATAGCAGTCATGAAATTTACTTAATTGGTGAAAATTTATTCTATGTGTGGCTGGAATCACACCACAGATAACAGCCTAGGGCCAACCCAGTTGGTCTAACAAAAATAAAATGATAATATCTGCTGCTATTGACATTATGTCCTATAGTCTTTGCATGTATTTTAAATCTCACTCTGCCCCTCACCCCAGTGTTACTAGCAATTAAACCCAGGGCTTTGCGCTGAGCTACATCTCCAGCTCCTTTTATTTTTATTTTTTATTTTGTGATAGGGTCTCTTTAAATCTCTAATTTCCCAGGCTTTACTCAAATTTGCAATCCTCCTGCCTCAGCCTCCCATAACACTGGAATTACACACATATACCTCCATGCGTGTTTTCCCGTTTCTTTTAATGTAATTCGCTTAACAACTCTACGATGTAGATATGGTCATGATCTACTATGACTGCATATTTATGTTCCCAAATTCATATGTTATGATATTTGGTGGCAGGGACTTTGGGAGGTAGCTATGTCATGAGTGTAAAGCTCTCTCTTTGGAGAAATGACACCAGAGTGCTCTCTATGCTCCCTGAGTGCCTGCTCTGTCCTCTTTTTCTTCCTCTCTCTCTTGTCACATAAGAATAAAATGAGAAGACAACTTCTGCAAACCAGAAGTGCCCTCACCAGAAGTACTCTCACCAGGGTCTCCAGAGCATCTTGAATTTAGCCTTCCCAGCCTCCAGAATAGTGAGATCCAGTGGTCTTTTGCTTAAAAGCCAACCAGACAATTGTAGTCTTTTATAGCAGTCCAAACTGACCAGAGCATCATCCTGAATTTTGTAGATGAAAAAACAGCACAAAGATTAGCCAGTGTGGTTAGAGTTAATTACAAGGATCACTAGAAGAAAACACCTATGCCTGGGCAGTCCAAGCCCCACCCGGTGCTCTCAGGGCTGAGCTGATGACTCCCGAGGCTTACTAATGGCCAAGTGAGGCAAGAACATCACAGCTGAAGCAGCCCCGCTGGGAATGGCCAAGGTGGGCCTATGATGAACAGCTGTGCTCACGCCCTGCTCTTTGACCAATATCGCTAAGTGCTGGGATTTTCAAAGGGAAATCAGAGATTTGAGTTTTTAGGTAAAATTTCCTGATAGCTTCTGTTTTCTTTGTATCGATGACTTGTACTATTTTTTATAACACAGTGCTAGTAAGAAGTAAATATTTTAGGATTGAATTTGGCTCAAATTCTGCCAATTCACAGTCAATGGCAAAACATATATAAGCCCATTCACATTGCTGCATTAAGAAATAGAGTAAGAATTTCCAACAAATTCTATCTTTTTAGACTCCATGATCTAAGCCAAAAGTTCAACCATTTGTCCCCATTCACAGGTGTACTGATTTGGGATATTTCTAGAAATATCTAGAAACATATAGAAATATCTATTTCTAGAATATCTAGAAAGTAGAAGTACCTAGGAAACAACAGATGGATAACAGACTTTGTGGAATGAACAAGCTGCACACACAACTCTGCATTCCTCAGTTCTCCACCACTTCACCACCGCTCTCTGGCAATAATACACAAAGGAGGCACTAAACCCAGCAAGGACAATGCTGGAAAAAGAACCCTTTGCTTACCGTCTCCCTACCCAGTCCCACCTCATCAAATTTCAGGAAGGATCGGCCAGATAAGACAAGAACAGTGCCCCTAAGAGATATCACAACTGTAGAGAAATACCACATTTTATCTTGCCTGTGCTTCTGCTTTTGAGCATTCTACAGAGGATCAAGGGTTTCTGAAAATCTCACTGCATTGTGTGGTCTTAGCTCCACTCTCTCATCTCCAGTCCCACTTGCCTTTCTTCGCACCAATGTTAACTCAGCTCCTCACTGATGGGTCTTCATTCAGCACAAAAGACTTGGTGTTAGGTTTCATCAGCAAAGCAAAGTCATCGGCCTCAGCACCAGGACAAATTCTTATGCTTACTGCCCTGTTCCACCCCTGGCAAATGCAATCCTGGACACACTGCACTGCCTGAGACTGGGGCAGTGTAGGTGGAGACAGTCCCCTGGCCACTCTGGCTGATGCTAAGCAGGGTCATACGTGAGCCTCACAGCTGTAAGGACTTGCATGACTGAAGGATGCAGGACACTCTATGTCCCAGTGACATGGGTTGAAACATAAATCTGTCCCACTGGAGTATAGGTTTCTGCCTGGCACAGGTGTCATTTTAAAGCCCTGTCTGTTACCTGGTAATATCTGTAGTGTCAGACAAGGGGATTGGTGGTAGAGGCATACCCTTGGCCGCCAAGGTAGACCCTAAGCTGGGCCACACCTGAGTTTCACAGGGACCTGCACAGTCCTAGGAGCACAGCAGGCATGCCCTGGGCCCACTGCAAGGCTATAAATGGTGACATCTGAAACCCAAGTGTGTCCCACCTGTGCAAATTCTCCACCCATGCCAGGGCAGGTCTGGAGGCTCTGTCATGGGTTCTAACCCATGCATAGGTCTTACAGTTTCTACAGGACATTGGATCTTCCCAAGGCAGGCCTGTAACTGAACTCTAAAACAAAGCCCTGTGATAGCTTTCATGCCCATCCATCCATGCTGATGGAGTCCGAAGAGGTGGTTGCATTCAGCCGCCTGACCTAAGGCAGCAGCAGCAGCTTATTCTGTTG